TACTACTGCTACACCTCACTGCTATTTACACTACTACTACTACCTCACTGCTATTTACACTACTACTACTACTACTACCTCTCTGCTACTTACACTACTACTACTACTACCTCACTGCTATTTACACTACTACTACTACCTCACTGCTATTTACACTACTACTACTACCTCACTGCTATTTACACTACTACTACTACCTCACTGCTATTTACACTACTACGCTACTACCCCTATACACTACTCACGCTACTACCTCACTACACTTACACTACTACTACTAACCCACCCCGCTATCACACTACTACTACCACCCCATTACACTACTACTACACCCCACTGCTACTTACAATACTACTACTCTACTATCTCTCTGCTTATTTACACTACTACTACTGCTACTACCTCACTGCTATTTACACTACTACTACTACCTCACTGCTATTTATAACTCACTACTACTACCTCCCCACTGCTATTTACACTACTACTACTACCTCACTGCTATTTACACTATCACTACTACCTCACTGTATTTACAACACTATCCTACTATCTCTCGCTATTAACTACTACTACTGCTACTTCTCTGCTATTTTACACTACTACTACGCTACTACCTCACTGCTATTTAACACTACTACTACTACCTCACTGCTATTTACACTACTACTAAAACCTCACTGCTATTTACACTACTACTACTACCTCACTGCTATTTACACACTACTACTCTACTATCTGCTATTTACACTACTACTACCTACTACCTCACTGCTATTTACACTACTACTACTACCTCACTGCTATTTACACTACTACTACTACTACTATCTCACTGCTATTTACACTACTACTACGGCTACTACCTCACTGCTATTTACACTACTACTACTACCTCACTGCTATTTACACTACTACTACTACTACTACCTCACTGCTATTTACACTACTACTACTACTACCTCACTGCTATTTACACTACTACTACTACTACTACCCTCACTGCTATTTACACTACTACTACTACTACTACCTCACTGCTATTTACACTACTACTACACCCACTGCTATTTACACCTACTACTACTACTACTACCTCACCACATTTTACACTACTACTACTGCTACTACCTCACTGTTATTTAATCTACTACTACCACCACTGCTATTTACACTACTACTACTACCTCATGCTATTTACACTACTACTACTACCTCATCATATTTACAATACTACTACTCTACTATTCTCAGCTATTTACACTACTACTACTACTACCTCACTGCTATTTACACTACTACTACTACCTCACTGCTATTTACACCTACTATACATCAACTCTATTACACTACTACTACTACCTCACTGCTATTTACACTACTACTACTGCTACTATCTCTCTGCTATTTACACTACTACTACTACTACCTCACTGCTATTTACACTACTACTACTGCTACTATCTCTACTGCTATTTACACTACTACTACGGCTACTACCTCACTGCTATTTACACTACTACTACTACCTCACTGCTATTTACACTACTACTACTACTACTATCACTGCTATTTACACTACTACTACTACTACCATCACTGCTATTTACACTACTACTACTACTACTACCTCACTGCTATTTACACTACTACTACTACTACTACCTCACTGCTATTTACACTACTACTACTACCTCACTGCTATTTAAACACTACTACTACTACTATCTCTCTGCTATTTACACTACTACTACTACTACTACCTCACTGCTATTTACACTACTACTACTACCTCACTGCTATTCTACTACACTACTACTCCTCACTGCTATTTACACTACTACTACTACCTCACTGCTATTTACACTACTACTACTGCTACTATCTCTCTGCTATTTACACTACTACTACGGCTACTACCTCACTGCTATTTACACTACTACTACTACCTCACTGCTATTTACACTACTACTACTACTACTATCTCTGTTATTTACACTACTACTACTACTACTACCTCACTGCTATTTACACTACTACTACTACTACTACCTCACTGCTATTTACACTACTACTACTACTACTACCTCACTGCTATTTACACTACTACTACTACCTCACTGCTATTTACACTACTACTACTGCTACTATCTCACTGCTATTTACACTACTACTACTACTACCTCACTGTTATTTACACTTCTACTACTACTACTACCTCACTGCTATTTACACTACTACTACTGCTGCTACTATCTCTCTGCTATTTACACTACTACTACTACCTCACTGCTATTTACACTACTACTACTACTACTACCTCACTGCTATTTACACTATTACTACTACCTCACTGCTATTTACACTACTACTACTACTACTATCTTCTGCTATTTACACTACTACTACTATTAAGTCTACTGATATTTCTAATATTACTACTACTACTTATACTATTTCCACTACTACTGCTGATATTACTAGTACTACCACTACTACCTCTACTACTATATCCACTACTACTAATATTTCTATTGCTATTTCTACTTATATTAATCCTACTACTTTTAATACTACTACCACTACTACTACTATTACTACTACTAACACAACCAGTTCTACTGCTGCTATTACTATCACTACTACAGTTTCTTCTTAATGAACTGCACCAAACTATCAACCTTTTTGGGACTATTTTGCAGTGCTGCTGTTATTTACCGCAGTCAACATGCTCAACACTAACATGATGGAAATGATCCACGACATTAAGCACTTTCCATAAACATTTATTCTCAGTCTGTCCCAAAATCTGCCTTTATAAGTGAGTTTGAAGTAAACACATTTTCTGATTAGAGAAATGTGTTGAAATTCTTGTCTGTGGTAATCACATATATGCTGCAGATGTTGTGGATAGATATGAGTCTGAAATCCGCTGCCGTATTCCTAGTATTTCTGCTAATGAAAGAAATGAGTGTTATTTGTTATGTAAATTAAAGATGGGGCTTGGGAGAGCTGTGAGAATTTTCACTGTTGGACAGACATTAATTTGGCCTGCAGTGTGATATATATCAGCACGGTCCAGCTTAATTTCCCCTAATTCCTCAAGTTTATGGCATGACATTAATTCACACGAGGCAGCTGAAACACCAGTACGCTCCATATTTCGCAGCTGAATGTCTCTCTCATGAGCACTTTATTGAGCAGCACTGCTGTAAAACATCCCACACTTAAACACCTTATTCTGGCAGACTGCTGGAGCGAGACACCCTGCCTCAGGCGCCCTTCACATGCTCTGGAAACCTTGTTTTGTTTCTTTCACCCTGACTGGCAGAGGACCCAGAATGCACCTGGGGCAGGTGTATGTTAAAGAGTGGAGTCTGATAGTGGAAGTGGAAATGGGGGAAATGCAGCAAACGAGATTTACTGACTGCCACATGGCGATGTGGAGAAAGGGACACTTGGGATAATGTTGCAGGGCCAGGTGCAGAGGCGTAGGCTCTTAGTAAGTGGCCACACACACACACACACACACGCAGGTCAGATGTGCAGCGCTACGGTACATAACAAAACCATTCAAGGGTCTTTTGATTGCTGATAAGGTCCTGCCTGTAGGGTGTGTGTGTGTGTGTGTGTGTGGTGCTAAGGTCATTTTGAGGAACTGTTGTTCAAATGAGCTTGTACAGAAAAAGGAAGAAAAATGTGTTTGCCAGCAACATCTGCTACTGTTAGATTGAGTGGATTACAGATAAGTCTAACCTTTAGGGCCACACAAACACAAACACACACGCGCACACACACACACACACACAGGTCAGTTTTGGTCCCACCTGTGCTATGGTACATATAAAAATGAAAAAAACATTCAAGGTCTTTCGATTGCTGATAAGATATTGCCTGTAGGGTGCACGTGTGTGTGTGTGTGTGTGTGTGTGTGTGTGTAGCCCTACAGTAAAGGTTAGGCTTATCTCTGTGCCACTCAATCTAACAGTAGCAGATGCTACCTGCAACCACAAATTACAACCTTTTTCCTTGCAAGATCACTTCAGGAACAGCTCCTCAAAAAGACCTTAGCATCACACACACACACACACACACGCACACACACACACACACACACACACACACACACACGAAAATAAGTATAGTATAAGCTTTAGGAGCATCACTGAAACCTAACACAATTGTCTTGCTGCTGTCATTAAGTCCGTAGGGTGTACAAATTTTTGCACTCAACCGTGAATGATGTTATGGCTTATTAATATCTACTCCTGTTCCTAAGTAGAACATCAGTAACCAAAATAAAACCTCGAAAACGTCCCTTCATGTGGACACGCCACCAGATCAACGTGTTATTAAGTAACACAAGGCTCATTATTCAGTCAGCACAGTGAAGCTAACAGGAAGTGGAAGGACCCTATAATTCACTGGGTTCACTGCGTTAATACTAAAGGACTGTAATGCCCTGACCAGGCTCTTCTTTCGGCCACTAAAGAAAATGTGTTCGTGACTGCTCTCTAAACTCTAAACTCATTCCATTTAAGATTAACCCCTGTGTGGTGAGCACAGAAGCAGAAACCCGATCCACAACCATTAGGTTGTTTATCTGTGTGTGTGTGTGAGAGAGATGTGAGAGATAACTAAGGTAGGTGAGAGGTCAGTGTTCCCGTATTCATGGCATTACTCACCTCCTCGTATGTCCACACGCCACTTGCCAACTCCACACAGAAGATCACCAGCAGACTGCCAAAGTACTGTAGAGCGCACCAACACAAAATGAAGTCAATACTCCAATATTTTTCATCCTTAGCTCCACCCACTGTGTCAGTAGCATACAGTGCCCTCCACTAATATTACTACCCTTGGTAAATATAATGATACTTGTGAAATTATTTCCTTCACACACCAGGATGTCGGGGTCAGAGCGCAGGGTCAGCCATGACATGGCACCCCTGGAGCAGAGAGGGTTAAGGGACTTGCTCAAGGGCCCAACAGTGGCAGCTTGGCAGAGCAGGGGCTTGAACCCTGGACCTTCCGATCACTAACCCTGAGCTTTAACCGCCAAGCCACCACTGTGAGAAATTGTCTTTATTGTGTATAACCTTTTGATCTTTTGTTCAAACAATTCACAAACATACTCTGCTCTCAGTTTCTTTTCTTACTAAGTATATAATGGAAGCCTAAGGGCACTTTGAAGTAAACCTTTAACACAAATCCTGTTTCGCAGAAGGCTTCAGCGCTTAATTCCCAATTCTGATTGATCAGGTGTTGAGTAATTTTTTTTAGAATAGCAGCTATAAGAGTAATGCCGGCTTCAAAACAAACCCCAGGTTTATATCAATGCACGTCTTATAATGCGTTATTGTTACTATAGTAACAGCTCTTCACAGGGACTTGTATGGGGGTGCTCCTCATAATTTAAGCCTAATGATAAATGGAAACATTGATATGACGACATTTATTGCGCACATTTAGAAGTTGTCTCCAGGGTCAGAAGTAAGGCTGGAAAGGTTCCAGGAAAGTTGTCTATAAAATGACAAGCTGTAATTTTTTTTCGCCTTATTGTCTTCAAGGGTGAGAAAACAGAAAGTAATTGAGGAACTGTTTAGAGCTGCTACAAAAATGGGAACTAACCGCCACAACATTAAACGTAACTATAAATGGATTACATGCTGTTTATTAATGCATTAATATTGTTTGCGTTGGCAAGTGGATACAGTATAAGGGGAATAAAACTCTTCAGGACGTGCTTTTGGACGATCAATTTCAGGTGGGACAAGTAACTGCGCCTCAAGTTCGGCTGCATCACATCACCCCTTTCTTGATTATTTTCCAATAACAGCATATCAGGTTATGTTTAATTACTTATATATTCTATTTTGGGGGACATGGTGGTGTAGTGGTTAGCACAAGTCCAGGGTTGGGGGCTCGATTCACTTCTGTGTGTGCGGAGTTTGCATGTTCTCCACATGCTTCGTGGGTTTCCTCCAGGTTCTCTGGTTTCCTCCCCAATGCAAAGACACGCATTGTAGGGTGACTGGCATTTCCAAATTGTCTGTAGTGTATGAATGTGTGTGCAATTGTGCCCTACGACAGGTTGGAACCCTATCCAGGGTGTCCCCCTCCTTGTGCACCAAGTTCCCTGGGATAGGCTCCAGGCTCCCCCCGTGACCCTGTGTAGGATGCGCGGTACAGAAAATGGATGGATGTATTACTTTGAAAGTTATATCAAATGCTTTGGAAAGACTTTAAAACTCACATCCTGGTTATCATTTTGAATAGGAATTTTTGATGGAATTCAACAACTGCCTCTAGACTTCCAAGTTAATTGTACTGGAAAAAGTGGGGACATTCTGGTCCATGCTAATCACACATACACTACAGATGCTCTGGATGGAAATGATGTTGAAAAGCTCTGGAGTGTTCCTGTAAGAAGAAGAGAGAGAAAGAGAGAGAGAGAAAGAGTGAGAGAGAGACATCCCGGTATAATCTTTTCTCATCCCTTTGTAACGGACTGTTAGTGTGACTGATGGGTCAGTACAGTGAGGACCCCCCCCTGCACTTTCAGACTGATCTAGCGAGGAAAGGTATTCTCCATTCACTTCACACATGGACACACACTGTTGCACATCCATTTGGCCTGCGCATCCGACTTAACACTCAAACTGTCAACCAAACGCACTGTGAGGCCTTATTAAGATGAATGTTCATGTCAGGAGCAGGATTTGGCAGCGAGCGAGTGCTGAGGGCCTGGCTGACCGTGTTTATTTGGAAACTCCAAATATTTGTGTTAAACAGATGTTCGTTGCAGTTATATGATCCATTTGCTATTCGTCACACACATGCCAATCCCCCCCCACACACACACACACATACCCTATCAGAAACTATCAGACACGATACACATAGACACTCACATGTATGGAATGCAAACCACAAAACCCTGACATGGCTTTTACACCTTCTCCATCCAAACTCCTCACTTCTCTAAATCTAGCTGATGTGAACTTTTAACCTGCTGATCATCTCTCTCTCATGCTGTCTGTCTGTCTCTCTCTCTCTCTCTCACACACACACACACACACACACATGAGTATGAGGAGATAACATCATGCGCCTTGTTAACAGGTTGTTGTTTTTTTATACAGCATGCATTATTTAACCAAGTGTGGACAAATAATACATTTATTAGCAAGCACACTATGCAAGGAACACTCCAATGTGCTGCCAAATGCCTTGTTTTGTCCAGAACCCTAACTGACTAGGCTAAAAGGTGACAGCTAGCATATTCCTATAATGCATGGAAAGCATGTTATGCATTAATACTGAGGAAAAAGAATGAGTATATGGTCATACATATGAGTCGGGCTAGTGTCTTTATTTCCTCACAATATGTTTTCCGCATTGTAGTAAACAGAAGAAACCTTAAACAAACTCGTAGACACACTCATTCAAACCTGAGGGCAATTTAGAGGGTTAATACCAAAATTTGTAGTACTGACAGAGTGAAGTACTGACTGTCAGTCAAAATGCTACAGTATTTATTGTACATGCCCATAGGACTGAATTTTGGTCAGTAGCCTGGTCGTCTGGAACAAGCGAAATATGTGTCCAAGATATTTGGTTTTTCTTGGTCGTCGCTCAAAAGACAAGTAGGCTGAACAACCAGAAAAACATTCTTTAAACAAGCACTTGTTATTGACTTTTTCAATAGGACCTACTATCAGGTTTAGGGTAGATGCGAGTAAATTGCAGAACCCGGAGGAAATCCACATGGACACAGGGAGAACATGTGAAACTCCACAGCCAAATAAAAATCCAAAGATATTTAGAAACAATGATTTATATAGACTGCCCTGTGATGGGTTTCTTGCCTTGTGCCCTGAGTTCCTTAGGTAGGCTCCAGGCTCCCCCATGACCCCGTGTTGGATAAGTGGTATGGAAAATAGATTTACATAGCCAAGCTAAGAATTAAAACAGAGACACAACTGACCATTTCATAACAGTCCCTCCTCTCTTTGTGTGTGTATTGCCCCAGAATGCATTAGTGTCCATGCACCTTCTTTCTTTGTAAACAGTCTGTGTGTGTGTGTGTGTGTGTGTGTATGTGGAGGCATGTGCACTCCTCAGTTCAGTTATTAGGCTACAAATCATGCAAAATTCCCTCTAACTGTGTACTGATTATCAATGTGCGTGAACAGGTGATGAGATAGCCGACTACCCGCATAGCCAAAGTTCCATGTGCAATTTATATAAACAGTGTGTATATGTGTCTGAAAACGAGAAGGTGTTTGTCCCTGTTCTTACTATGTGTGCAATGTCGTCTGGTGAGCAGAGGCTCAGGGAAACTAAAGAGCCTGTCTTTTTTCCCCAAGTCGCCCCGCTTCATGCCTGGATTGCCTTACCTATTGAAGCTGTGTGAGATAATACTGCAGGCTCGCTGTAACCCAAACCTGTAACCCAGACACGCCAGAGAGGAGAAGAGAGGAGAGGCAGTGAATAAAGAGATGAATGGAGCGACCCATAAAGGAGAAGAGCAGGTAAGTGGGGGAAGACGTCCCAGAAATCAGGGTCCTCATTTGGAACAGGAGTCAGCCTTGAAAATCACGGCCATGGCCTCTTTATAATCTAGCTCGGGTGTACAGCTGGGTCTCTATTGTTGCCGTGACACAAGAAAGAAGGATTTTCATGCAATTAGTTAACCTCTTTTTCCACCAATATCACCCAACACCTTTAAGAACTATACGATCTGTTTTTTTATGTAACCAGACACCGTAACGGTTGATGGCGCCAGCAGATGCAGTTTTGGATGAATGAGTCATAAGGTAGTCATCTACCTGCACAGGCAAAGTTGCTCTGAAGGAATAACATTTATGGTATGTAGTGGACACTCTTCTTCAAGAACGTTTACAGAAATGGAACGTACTTGGAAAACATAGCCTAACTGGTGCAGACTTCCCAGAGTCCATATACCAACACGCCAAGACCCTGCTAGAACCAGGAGTCAGAGTGTATACACAAGTAACTTAACTCATAACTGCATGAGTGCTTATTTATGTTTTTATTACTAAAATGGTCTAGGAACTAAGGAACTCAGCCATTAAAAGTTCCAGCACCTGGGCACCACGACAGAGTGCTGTGTCTGGCAGAAGAAGCCAAGCCTTTATTAGTATGAGAACGGCTTGAGATGCAGTGTGCGATTGGACTGTTGCTATCATGTATGGGGGAATGGTCCATTTTTGGCTTTGCAGATAAGCATCAGGGATCTAATGCTGGAAGTTATAGGAGGCCAGTGAAGGTAGAAGTGGAATGACATGGGTAAAGAAATGTTAGGCTGTTGCATTCTGGATCAGTTAAGAAGAAATTGCAAGTGCAGAAAGACCTGCCAGAAATGAATTGCAGCAGTCAAGTATTGAGATATTAAGGTATCCGAGTGGCGGCCTAGAAGAAAAAAAATGTACAAAGCCTGCTGACACTGTACAGGAGAACCCTGCATAGCTGAGTCAGAGGACAATAACTAATCCCTAAAGCGAACACCAATCCTTCAGTTAAATAGAATTTCAAGGCAGCAAAATCAAGTCATCGATACCTGTATGCATTTCCAGGTATGCATAGATGCTCAGTCCTGCTGGAATTGGGCCTTAACTTATGAGCTTCCATCCATGATGAGAAGTCTGCCCCATGTGACAAGATATAAGTAGCAACCTGGGTATCTGATGGTGCAAAGGATGAGTGCGGTGTCCGTGGTATACAGCAGATACTGTATCTATGGTAGATGAAGCCATTTGAAAAGAAAAGCGAAGAAGTCGAAGCGCTGAGCCTTGAGGAACACCTCTGCATTTGGATTTATATTTACCTCAAGTGACATTTTTATCGAAAGCGACTTGCAACCGAGAAAGAATACAATAGACATCTGAGCAGTTGAGGGTCAAGGGCAGTCTAGCATCTCAAGGGCCCAAAGGTGGCAACTTGGTGGTTCTGGGATATGAACTCATGACCTTCCAAGCAGTAGCCCAAGGCCTTAACCGCTGAACCATCTCTGCCCTACAAGGGGGCTACCCTCTGCATGAACCAGAT